TAAAACCTTTGGATCATCTTCAAGATGCAACTGTTTCCAGCCCAGTTGGCATTTCATGGCTTGCGGTAAAGCAGGGACCCAGAAAATTTACTCCAAAACCCTCAGGACTGGTGGAAATCGACTGATCTACATATCCACGTCATCTAGAAAACGCCAGGATTTCAGAACAGTCAGAAAAGGTGTGTAGAGAGCTGAGGCTGTAGCTCTGTGGTAGAGCCCTTGCCATGAGCCATGCCCTGGGTGCCGTCCTCAATGTCACTAAAGAAGAAGTATGAAAAGATATGAGCTTTTGCCAAAGAGAAAATAGGATGCAAATACCATATGGATGTGAGCATGAGAGAAAGAGGCTGGGTATAATCCCCTAAATATAGTTAGTAAAGTTTTCTTCTTTTATTTCCTTCTACTTTGACTCACACATTTTATTCACCGTACTCATTCCTCACAATGTGTACTTAGAGTACCATCATCTCATATTGCAAAACTGAAGCCCAGGGAGAATTTTTAGCTCAAGGGCAACATAAATTAATGGCTTTAATCATCTCCTTTGCATAACAACAGGACTCACAAGACTTACCCCCCACAACAGTGACACAAATTTTACCAACATTGAGGACCATCACTGTCCTGTCATTTGGACAAAATCTGCAGTGAAATAATTCCAAAATACCTCCTTGTGAGACACGGGTATGCATTCATGAAACCACTTAGCAGATGTTTGCTGACTGCTTTCGTGTGTGCTGGCATTTGGGGCACAACGTTGGATAAAACTAATCTAGTTTTTATTTAGTGGATTACAATTTTACGGTCAGATTGCTATTTGAGAAACATTATGTCATATTGCCTAGAAATATGTTCTTTGCAATCAGGGAGTTCTGGACTGTAATACTGACTTAGCCTACTAATGGTTGTGTGACTTCAATTCCTTGACCTCTCCAAGCCTTGTTTTTAATTCATAAAATAGCATAACTACTTCCAGAACGATTACTGTTATTAGCCGATTGTGGTGCCCAGAACTTAGATTTTTTTTTTTTAAGTTAAAAGAACCTTTTTTTTTTGTCTATGACTTGTACTCTAAGTAACATTTTGGCCAATCTTTTAAGATCATGATACACAGTTTATTAGCTGTTGCTATTCTCTAATTATTTTAGCATGGGATTTTGCTTTTTTCATAAAGTAAGCAGAGTGATTTTTATATTTTAGCTATTAATATTAACTTGTACTGCATTACAATAAGAAGAAAAAGAATATAGGCAGAACTGGATTAAAAGGATAGTTGTATAACTCTGTAAGTTTACTTTTTAAAAATAATTGAATTGTACACTTAAGATGCATGGAGCCATCGCTCAAGCGCAGGGAGGTAGGCCGGGCCCAGATCCACAGCAGGAAGGAGAACCACGCCTGCTCCCGACCCAGCAACCATCGCTCAAGCGCCGGGAAGGTAGGCCGGGCCCGATCCACCGCAGGAAGGAGAACCACGCCTGCTCCCGACCCAGCAGCCATCTCTCAAGCCCCGGGAAGGTAGCTGCGCGGGGGCCCCTGAACCCCCATAATTCCCTCCCCCACACTCTCAGACCTCCTGACTGTGCAAGTCTTTGGACCCACTCTGCAAAGACAGAGGTGGTCATCAAAGGTATTTTTCTGAGTTCCCAACTTTGAACATCTTTAAAGAAAGGGCGTGGGAAACCTACAATAGAACGTTGCAGAGTTCAACCATTCAGAAGGATGGGGAACTCAATTTGGGCCTTGCAGCCCGAGGTCAGTCAGTGTCATGGGGTTCAGTCATCAGCTAACTGAGACCAGGGGTCTTGCATCCTCGCTCTGTCTGAGCCATTAAATGGTAAATACAATATATTGAAATTTTGTTCACTGCAGACATGTTCCAGACTGCTTCTTGATTTCAATTTAATTCAAATGATTTAAGGGTGATAGACTAGTGACTACCACAGGTGGTCAGTGTCCAAGTTGTGCTTGATCTTAATGTGTTGCTGATTGTATCCATTGGGGTAAAGCATTGCGGTTGATTTGATGAGCTGTTTCTCTGATGTTATGAAGATGAGAATGTCTGTGGGTCGTTAGAGACACAGAAGCTAGGGTGCAAATATACCAGGAAGATTTGGGTGATAACCCAGAGATTAAACCAAGGACAGTCCGACAACAAAAATAAACATGAGAAAACACTTAAGCAAGACACAAGGACAGACTTCCAGTTCACCAATGGCAAACAGTAGGGCAAATGAGGATGAAAAGGCCGATAGTGAACCACCAGGACACCCTGAACTCAAAGCGCAGGAAGTAACAAAACAGATCAATCAGGCTCAATAAAAAGACAGGAAAGAAGAGGAAGGAGCCAAGGGATTCTCAAGAAAAGGTGAGAATTCTGCAAGAAGACAGGAAGTAGTCACCAGGTGAAGGGGAACATTTTAATGAAAGCACAGCAATGGAGATTTTGGTGGTGAGTTTTTAATATTGTGCTAAAATTTTTTATTGTGGTTCATGACATAGTGAAGAAATTTAAAAGCTTTCGAGCCAGAAATGGGAAAGCACTGTGTTTGCCCCTCTTGAACATGGCTGAGAAGAGCATTTAGAAACACACATCTAAATCTTCAGAGAGGAGGCGTGGACTGTACATTTCAGGTCCTATTCTCGGCTTAGAACTCCTTTAGCACTATTTTTCACATGATGACCCTGGAATTTCAGACTCATTCTTTAACAACTTCCTAGACATTCCAAGGGAATGCCCACCTAAATTGCCACTCTTGAGTCGAAGTCTGTCTGGCTAAATTTAACACCCCGGATTCAAGCTTGGAGTCACCTTGACCTCGGCATCCCTCCCAGCCCAGCCACTCCGCACCATCTTCCTGGTCCTCTTGCTCTGGGATCTGATCCCTCCTTGCTGAGCAGGGCTCGTTCATACTGTCATTTGTCCATCCAAAGGCCTGGCTCTGCTGAGTTTAGACACGTGTTTGGCCCCGTGGCTGGTGCCCTACTTTGTCTCCCATGGCCACTTTCACACTTCAGTTTCGGGGACAGGCTGCAGATCCCAGAAAAGCTCTCCAGGGCTCTTCTGGTTTGTATCCACAGTGAAACACACTTTTAAAATGCTCTGCTAGATCATGTTTAATTATAAGCAACTATCCTTAGAGGCATTTGGGGGCTGGAACATATGTGCTAATTGCACTCATGTCTGAGTCCAGATTTTCTGCAGGTACAGGACAGTGTGCATTAAGACTCCAGGGTATTTCATGAAATAAACAAATGGGAACCAAAAAAATTATACCCAGGTAGTCATTATTCCATACTATTAACATAGGCATACAAAGCCACCTAGTGGAAAATTTTAACATATTGTCTTGCCAACAAAGGAATCCAAACAGAATAGTCGCAAAATCAGTTGAATGTTTTGCTGACATGGCTCATCTCCCTTTACTGCCCAATTTTGCTTTTCCCTTGAAAAGGTACAAAACTTAAGGCGTCGCTATGTGTGAAAGTCGTTTAATTGGGCTGTGTGGTACAAAGCATGATTCAGAGAGAAAAGCACAGATTTGGGGGCAGAGAAATGCACCCAGTTTTATTGCTTTTTAAGCAACTTCCCTGATCTGTACTTGGAAACCTCAGAATTAGGGCCATCTGGAAGAACTCAGCCTCCCAGATTATCAGGTAAGAGGAGAAGGCACCTCCTTCTCTATATGTACAGACCTCTGGTACCTGCAGAACTGATTACCACATATATATAGATATACAAAGATTCAAGGAATGCCCAGGTCTCTGCTATACCTGTTTGTAGGAGGTAGAGGGAGTCGTACCCAGGAGACAGTGCACTCAAGATCGACACCTCGAGCTCTGAGAACAGGGGCTGTATTTACACTCAGTCCTCAGAGGCAGCAGAGCTGAGTTAAAGAGAAGCCAAAGCCATAGAGTCACAGGCCTGAGTTTTAGGTGTCTTAGGTGGTGTTAGGTGGGTGAATAGTCATCCCCGGTGCCAGAGCAGGAGGACCCAGAGAGAAGCAGTCCAAGGAGGTGCTTCAGGAAAGTGGACCAGAAAAAAGACGGAGGGTGGCAAGAGTATGTGTCCTGCTGTCCCCTGAACTACCCTCAGGGACGTGGGCAGAGCTGAAACACGGGTGCACCTGGACTCTGGATGAACAGCCCAGTGAACCTAGCACCATAGGAAAATATTTGAAGTCTAACTCTATTTAATACACTTAACCTGCAGGGGATCACAGCAACACAGAGCACTGTGCGGTGCCAGCTGTTTCCCCTCCTGACTGCGTGGGGGTTGTAGCAGCACAGTGCTATGGGCTTAACCACGCCACTGCATGCGAGAGCCATTTCCTTCATCCAGCCTTGAGCTCGTCTGGAAAGCCTACTGCATCCTGCGGCAGTGGATTCATCTGGGGAAGACTCCAGGTTCCGGGAAGAAACTCCATTTATGAAGCTGAAATGGAGACTTTAACTTCAGTGGAGACTTTAACGAGATCAGCCTTGGGTCCACGGGTAAATCAGGATTTCTGTCAATTCCACGACCTATGAATCCCACAGCCACGGCCTCCATAAGAAGCAGAAGATGGAAAACCCTGGAATGACTTTCACTCTTGGCACAGCTGACGCTCTGGCTATGAAAGCATTTCAGAGGCTCAGAGGGTCCCACCAGGAATCTATCTCCTAGATATAAAGCTCCAAGTCTCCAACTTTACATTTTATAATATCAGTTGACATTTTAAATTATTGACTTAGGTTTGTTTGCCACATGATGTGCTTAGGTTCTCAGATTTATTTTATGGCTGAAGTCTTCCAAGCGGGGAACAGGCACCATATGCTTGTTTCCATCCAAGCCCACATACCTCATACATAAAGGAATGCTGAATGTTATATAACACAGCACACTGCAGTGTGTTGTTTTGCACATGCACTGCTAAGAGGTGAGGGTGAGCTACACCACGGGGTGCCCTGCAGGAGGGTCCCCAGCCCACACCAGCAGCATCTTTTCCCTACCACACACGCGCATGCCGCCTGGGGCTCGTCCTGCTGCAGACACGGTCCTCTGCTGTACCCACACAGCTCTCTCTCCAGCCCTAAGCCCTTTTCCCCCAAGGGCACCATGAGCTGCAGGGCGTGAATGGGCCTCGTCATGTGCTGTCCGAGTCACTTGCTGTGTCCTCCTGGAGTCCGTGTGCTCAAGCCCCGATCCCCAGTGACATGTTAGAGCAGTGAGCATGCGGTGCCTATGATGACAGGCATGTCCTCACGGGAAGATGGCGTGACTGGAACTTGGTTCCTGTGTGCAGGCACCAAGGAAAGACCGTGTAGGGACACAACCAGGACAGAGTGCTCCTCCACACCCCAAGTGTGTTGGCATCGTGACACCCATGCACTCCTCCAGAATGTTGAAAAGAAAACCTTGGCAACTTAAGCACCCACTCAACAGTATTTATTCTACAGTGCACAGAGCTGACCGAGACTCACCGACTCTGACCCCTTCTTCTGAGTGTGCTCCAGTGCTGCTATTTCTCTGCCCTGCACTGCAGAGGTAGAACAAGAGCTATCGTGGTGTGACAGATAACAGGATGCACAGGTCACCTCACCAGTTCGGGGGACTGTGTCACCCGGTATCCTCAAGATCACGGCTCTGCTCACACACCATGAGCCCCGATTTCCCAACACCAGAATGAACCTGCCTTCTCTTGCCTTGGTGCCCTTGTTTTAAGAATCTATCTTTCTAGAACCGTGGACAACCATCTATGGTGAATATTTAGTTGTTCAATCTACACAATGAGCCCCATAATCGATACCTAGAGAAATAAGAGGCTGCCGTACCTGAGAGGCTAAGGAAGTAGCCTGAGATACAAGGCTAGAGTACATAATTGCATCCCAGCTGGCTCGCTCCAAAGTCTGGGAATGAAGGTGGCTCACAGAGTGCGAGATCTGTGCACAGCGAGATGAACGAGGGTCACTCTACAGGCAACACACCTGGCAGTGCAGCTGCTCACTGAGGAGGAGCGAAGATCCACTCATTCCACAAAGATTTAGTTTTACACTTATTACACTCCAAGAGCAGAAAGGGAAATATTGATGTAATTAGGATCAGAGAGTGTTCCACTATAGCCTACTTCCCAAAAGCACCAAGGATTCCCCAAGTGTCCCGACACTTTGCTGAACAAGCCCCTGGAAGACAGTGGGAGGGCCAAAATGAGTTAACACTTCCTTTGCAGTAGGCAATGAGAAAAAAAAGATCCACGAGCACTGTGTGTCCACATGGGTCCCCAGTTATGGTTGATTTCCCCTCTGAACGTAGATACCCTTGTTGGCATATGCACCTGAGTCACTGGCACTAGGCCTGAGAGAATATAAAAGACAACTGATCACTCACAGGACTGTGGTACACAAGAGCTCACTGTGAAAGAGCTGAGCATTCCAAGGATCTTGGCAAATGCTTCCTTCCTGCTGTCTGCAGAGACCAGAAAGCCAAGTTCAAATACACCAGAAGCCCAGGATAGATCTGTTAGAAAGGAACAGAATGGAGGCTTCAGAGAGCACCATAAGCCAAAAATGGCAGAGAGTTTATCTTGCTGTTGACATCATGCACAGTCTTGGCATTTAAATGTCCCCACTAGATCAGACTGGAGTCTTATAGTGCTGTGCCTACCACGTTCTGACCCACAGGCTTGGCGAGAACATGTAGAAAATGTTTCGTTACTCATGCTCAATGCCTGCCCCCAGCATCGGAGGAGGAAGCAGTGGGACAGGGACATCGGTGTGACTGCCAGCGAGGTCGGCACTCTCCATCCACACCGGGAACCCGGGGCCGGCGGGACAGCTGCACAGCAGGCCACAGCCTGTACCTTGGAGGGTCAGCTCAAAGGCCCAGAGTTCCTCTTCTCTTTCTAGTTCATCTCAGCCTTTGCTTGGGAAAAAATAAGCCTATTAAATAGACACGGACTTGAAGTCAGGAGATCCTGGATTCATTTCTGGCCTCAATGAATAAGAAAATGAGAAAACACTGGAATTTCCTACAATCACAAATCATCAACACCACATCACAAAGTCTCCCTGATGGAAGGGATTCATTCCACAGGCAAAAACACAAATCCAGAGGAGCTAGAATTAGAACACGTCTGTCTCCAAAGTTTCATTCCATTAACATCCTTCATTTCCTTAGTTCTCTCTCTCTCTCTCTCTCTCTCTCTCTCTCTCTCTGTCTCTCTGTCTTTCCTAGTTTGTAAAATCTACTTATTTGACAAGCATCAGGCAATAATTAGGGGTGGCATGACCCCAACTGGGTCATGCAAACAAGTAATTTTCTTAGTTTGATGAGTGCCAGAAAAACTTTGTGCGCACAGCCACACGCAGGCAAAGGGGAACTTTGGTTTCTCCCTGACACTCATAGCAAGCTTCCCAGGTGAGAATCGTGTTCTGAGTCTTAAAGAGTGAAAGTCTGAGTAGAAGTTTCTTCAAAATGCAGAGAGCCAGTGCATTCCGGGCACAGTGTCACACAGGAAAAGGTGGAGAAGTACACTGAAGGCAACCAGAAGTCATCTGGGAGCTAAGGAGACCCAAGCGAAAAGGAGATTACGAGTCACGTAAAAGGTCCAGACCTGCTGGTAAGGCAGTGGGTAGCTGTGCACATGCGGGCGCACACACACACACACACACACACACACACACACACACACACACTAGAAGGACGGAAGCAGGACAGGCTCCTGGCTTTGGCTAGATCACAAAAATCGATAATCAATAATTATGTAAACCAAAGTCAGAAGTTGAGGAGTCGGCTGGGAGTGAGCTGCAAGGCCTACTCTGAGACTAAGCTAATCACACCATGGCAGAGCCTTTGGGGCTGGCTCCATAACCAATGCAGAGGCAGAAAGAACTACCAGCTTCAGTTTATACCCAATGTAGAGATTGAGGGCAAAGGAAAACTACAACGTAAGAATAGTTTGTTTCCTGGCAAGGTGCAAAGGGGAAGGGTCCCCTCTATACTGTCAGGGGGAGGTAAGTTAGTACTCCACTGTGGAGATCAGCATGCAGGACCTTCGGGAATCTAAGCAGAGAGACAACTATTAGTGGTGTTGTAGATCTAGAAAGTCCCCCAAAGTCTCTTGTGTGCAGAGGCAGGGCTTTTAGAAGACGACAGATCGGGGCACCATGACCATCGGCAGGTTAATCTGGGGGTGGACCCAGAGCTGGGCCTGCTGCTAGGGTGCAGCCTGGTGTGAAGAGGCAGGTCCTCGTCCTGGTGACCTGGAAGGCACAGCTCACGCCCTGGCTCCTCGCTCCTCTCCCTGCTCCCTGGCTGCTCTGAGATGAGCAGATTTCCCCTGCAGCCGACCGTTCCTCCATGCCGTGTCAGCCAAGAATCCTCTAACATTTGTGAACTGAAATAAACCAGTTGTGGGCACCAACTATTTCATCCCAGCATGGGACAGTGACTGAGGCTCCTTCTGATATAACTGCGCCTCTTCCGCTTTTTCCCAAAGAATCACGGAGAGCGTGCTGAAGATACCTGCGTTTCCATGTTCCCTGCGGCACAGTTCTCAGTAATCAACTACGGCAGCTGCCTAGACGCCCGTCAGCAGGAGAATGGATACACGGTGGAATATTATTCTGCCATAAAGAACAAAACGATGTCACATGCAGGAAAATGAGCACATGTTAAGCAAAATAAGCCAAATGCGACATGTTTTCTCTCATATACTGAGTCTAGGGGGAGAAAGACAGCAATGACACAAAAGTAGAAGACTCAGAAGGGAGGGGATCCCAGGGATGGAGGCACGGTAGAAATGAGAACATTGCACCTATGACATGCACGCCCCAAGATACCAGAATGAAGCCCTCACCCTGTCCGCATACTAAGAGGCTAGAAATGTATTCCGCTTACCCTGTCGTGCAGTAGAAACGAGCGGAGATGGTGCGCGAGAAGATGCTGGGAGAGAAATCACTTAAGGCTCTGTATGTGTAACTCGCTTTTCTTTTCACGAGATCTTCTTACCAAACACTGCTTCCCTTCGCTCTCGGGTGCGAGGCCACGGGTCAAAGGCACTGCGCACAAAGCTGAATCACGACAGGGAGACAAGCGCGGTACCGGGCTGAGCACATGCGCGCTTCTCCTCCCCTTCCGCAGCCTCACACTGGGTGGGCTCAGCGCTGCAGGGCGATGGGATCCGGACGCGAGCCAGCCTCACTTCTGTGAAAGAAGCGGGGCGTTCGTTGTTTCCATCTTTCTTCTGCTCTGCTTTCCCTACTCTCCCCTCCCAGACCCCCTTCCCATCTCTGACTCGTTTGCACTGTGCCCACAGTCCGCCCTCCCTCCCCGCAGCCGTGCCTACCTGGCGGGACACCTGGACGGAGTGGGTCTTAATTATATTCTGCAAGTCTTTCCCTGTGGAGAATTTCCCAGCGCCCGAGTGCATTGCTGCCCAGGAGGGCAGGCGATGGCACCTCGCTAGTGTTTTCTTACACGCACTCATCAGGGAGGAAGAAGCGCCTTTCAGAGCTTCCCACGCCACGTGCCCTGCCTGCGCCCTCAGGAGAGGAGCAGAAGACGCTTAATGCGTGCGTGGGCTCTGACACTCCGCCAGCAGGCCGCCCAGTTGAGCATTTTGGTAATTAGCAGAACATCTGTAATAGGACTCGTGTGTCGGAAACAGCTGCTGCCGCCCTGACTCTCCGAGAGGGAGCAGAGATTTGGATGTGGATTTCACTACAGCCCAGCTGTTTCCCATTTGAAGAAAGGATAAAGGGTAGACACTGAGTCAGTGGGAAAGCATCAAGACAAAAGTGGAAAAGGACAGGATTTCAAATGGCCTGGCCCGGAGCTGACTGGAACGCATACCATTGGCATGCAGTGAACAAAGCTTTCTTGCTTGCTGCAGCCTTGGGAGCTGGCCACCTTTGCCAAAAACGTCCCAGTAAAAATATTTATATGAAAACAACAAAAAGGCAGTGTTAAGAGTGCTGCTGGTCTCTTCCAGTTTGACCCTAACCCTCCACAATGCCCAGCACTTGGAAAATCACCTTCCCTCTGTGAGTGATGCAAGAGTTTGGGTTCCACAAGGTGGTTTGAGCATTTCTTCTGGGCTCCCAACCTTCTCAGATGAGGGGGAGCAAGAAAGAAGCACCCGAGATTGCAGGAACCCCTCCTTGGGAGAGCCTGTTCCCTCTGAGAAAAGCTGGTGAATTCCAGCAAGATTGCTCCAGCTCTCTACCTGGGAAAGATGGTGGGCAGAAATCAGCCATCCATGCAAGCAGTCAATCCACAGATACTTAAGGAGCACAGACTACCCTGGAAGGGAAAGTGCAGAATACAAGGATAATGTGGAAATACACTATGCTCTTGTCCTGGTGGCCTAGGGGAGCTAAAATATGTGAAGACGATTCCTTAGATAATCATGTAAATTGCAATTGTCACAAGTATTGCAAAAGGCCACTGACCAGTGAATTCGTAGACTTAGGCTACTCTGAGCAGCACTGTTGATTCTTGAATCAGGCCAGAAACTTCCAGTGTCCAGTACAAGTGAGCTTTGGACTGCCCAGTCCTTCATGACATCATAACCTGAGACCCTCGGGCTCTGGCCCTGCTACTGTTCTTTTCTGCATTTCCTTCTTGGTGCAGGTACTCAGCCTCTGACTCAGCATCTCCCGCTCTGTGCCCTTCTGCTCGTAGTGACCAAAGTATTATCTCCCCGTTCTCAGAGCTCCAGGAGACAGTGTCTGAGAGCAGACCACGTGAGAGCAACTTTATGCCAGGAATGGCAGGTCAGACCAGAGCTACACCCACAGCAGGCCAGAGGGGACAGGCGAGGGAAGCCTTGGCCGGACTACACTGTGCAAGGCTTCTCTACAACTGCGCGTCCTCCTCCGTCAGCTGTGGCTCCTTGCCCTTCTGCGCTCCCTGTCTTTGTCCATGTCCCTCCTCCCCGGAAACACCCTTCTTCCTTACTGCTACCTCTCAAAATCCTATTTATTTTCAAGTCCCAAGTTAATGATTGCTCTTCCTGGGATCACCCTGCTTTCTACCTGCTGGTAGGCAGCTTCCTTGTGCTCCTCTATTTCTCTGCGCTTCCCTTCAGATATCAGAGACTTTTATTTTATGTTGCTGACACTCTTGAGGGGTTCCAACTAAAATGGAGCCCTGTCTTAGGGGGGTCATGTAGCCTATGACCAGTTCTCCATATTCTATCCAGCTAGCAGTGCAGAATTTAAATATTCAGGTGGGTCTGCAGGTCCAAGACAGCCCGGTTTTGAATCTCAACACCGCTTTTTATGAGGAAACAACTCACTCTTCCCTGAGCCTCAAGCCACTCATCTCATCAAACACAACAGTGGCCTCAGGATTGCTAAGAACAATTAACACTCTTCCCACGGAAACTGTAGCCTAAAGTCAGAGTGTTTGGCAGGTGCTCAGTAAGAGTTTGGCTGGTTGCTCCTCAGAAGAAGTTTTCACTGAATTAAAACAAATTGAAATTGAAGAAAGTAAAATCGAGTAGCCCTCATTCCCCAAAATGGGCTTTGTTTTCTTGTAATTCCAGTTCTGCAATCTCAGCCCATCTGGACCAGACTTGTTTTTGTGACGGGGGTGTGTGTGTGTGTGCACGCGTGTGTGTGCTGAACCCAGACCCTTCTCCGTGTGCCCCTCGCCAGCCCTGCCACCATTCACTTCGTCTCAGTTTCCTAGGCTGCAGGACTCGAAGTCCCAATCCTGCTGCTCCACCTCCCACATTGCTGGGATTGCCGGCTTCTCTTAAAACACCTCAGGCCCGTTCACGTACACAATTGCCATGGCTCCCTTCACGTTACACTCACAGACTTTAATAGTCGGACTAGAAATCGTGCAGCCACTCTGGCAAAGCCTAAAATACTCAGCTCTCTTCGAAAGTCTTCTTTCTGAGATCTGAGACCTCCAGGGAAGTCGGGGCTCCATCTCCAGAAACCCTCCACACCCACAGAGCCGCCCCCTCCAGCAGGTGACACCGAGCCACTGGCGCTGCTCCCAGATTGTCCGAGGTCGAGCCACCAGGGGGCTGGGACGTGAGGGAAGAGAGCGGGCTCAGGCTGGGCCCGGGCGGCCTGGGGAAGTGGTTCAGCTGTGCTCCTGAGGCTGGGAAGAGGAACCTGAGGCAGAGGAGGAGGAGCAGCCCCAGGGATGCCTGTTCCGCTCCACCACGTCCCCCGGAACAGAGCCTGAGACACAAGGTCATGTCCCAAGGCCCCCTAACATTGACGGTGCGATCCAGGAAACAGCAGTGGAAGCAGAGCTCTGGGCGGGGAAGGAAAGAGACAGCTTAGCAGGCTGCTGAGAGCAAACTCTACGGTGCGCTCAGTGCCTGGACTTCTTCGGGGACCTGGGGAAGCTGCTGCTGTTCTTTTGTTTGTTTGTTTTTCCTTCATTGTGTTTATTGGTACATTTTAGGTATACAGTACAGTGACATTCATCATTGGGATCCTGTGCCTTCACATGACAGGTCTTAGTTCTCACTTTTCCCTGTCCCTGCCCTCCCTTCACCCCCTCCTCCCCTCCCCCTTTACAAACACTTTATTTCCATTTTTTCATTTTCTCCTATTTGTTTCCTTTCCCTTATTCCCTTTCCCCTACCCTTCCCACTTTCCCTACTCCTTTAGCCCTTTTCTTCTTATTTCACACTATTAATTATCTCATTAGGATCTTGTGTACTATTATAGTTTTTCACACCAGCGAAACTATTTGGTATTTACACATGTGTGACTTATTTATTTCATTTAGGAGTATATTCTCAATATGTATCCATTTTCCTATGAATGAATCTAATTTCTCATTCTTTATGGCTGAGTAGTATTCCATTTTGTAGAAAAACCACATCTCCTTTATCCAATTTCCAACTGATGGGCAAATGGGCTGTTTCCAAATTTTAGCTATTACAAACTGTAACACTGTAAACATAGATGTGTACATATCACTGTGATATGACTCTTTTAATTCTTTTGGAAAGATACCCAGCAGAGGGATGGCTGGGTCAAATGGAACCTCTAGTCCCAGCTCCTCGAGGTATCTCCATATTGACTTCCATAGTGGGACAGACATTTCTCAGACAAAGACGTAAAAGCAGCAAGTAAATATATGAAAAAATGTTCCACATCACTGGTCATTCGAGAGATGCGGATGAAAACAACACTGAGATTCCACCTCACCCCACAAAGAATGGCTGCTATCAAGACATCACACAATAAAAAATGTTGGCAGGGTTGTGGGGAGAAAGGAATCCTTCTCCATTGTTGGTGGGAGTGCAGACCGGTGCAACCACTGTGGAAATCAATATGGAGCTGCTGCTCTCTTAAATGGCCCGTGGGGAGTGAAAGACGGACAGTCCGGCTCCTGTTGGGTGTGGCGTTCTCTCAGGGTTACCTCCCTCCTCTGCTCCTTCCTGTCCTCTGCTTCCTGCCCACCACACATGCACACAACCTGCTTTCCTTCCACCAGTCCCTCTGCTGTGTTGTTTCTTCTTTGGAACCAAAATGTGAACCAAAATAAATCTTCTGTCAACCTGCAGTTACAGGCACCAAGCCTTGTGCCCAGGGACAAGAAAAAGTCTGAGATTTCCCCCTGCAGGAGCCACACAGACCTGTGACAGTGCAAGCTTCCCTTTGGAGCCCACAGGGCAGCAGGTGACACCAGCAACCTTTGTAGGACATTGTTAGTCACATGGGCCAGAAACTCTGTTGTCGTCAGCAGGATTTGTCAAGGGAATGCATTAAACACAGGACACACCATTTCCAAGATTATTTTATGATAATTACCCGAAAAGTCCAATGCAAAGGAGTGCAAGACATTAACCTCACACTGGAAGCCCCAAGGACTCAGCTGAGGGCCTGGATCCCAGCAGGGTCCCCACAAGTCCAGCTAAAGGCTTCGAGTCCCAGTCAGTGTCCTCCTCGAGTCCAGCCAGTGGCTTGGAGCCCACGGCAATGTCTCATGCTTGTCTGTATTGAGGATCCGCACCTGGAAGGCCCAAAGGTCGATGGGGAAGCCAGAAAACCTGTGCCAGTGAGATGAAGGATCTGTGCCACCAGGCCAAGGGATCCACATTGGAGCCAGGAAGTGACACTCACGGTGAAGATCAGAGCTCCCCTGAGGAAAGCAGTAGCCATTCCCAGTGACAGCGAAAACCTCCCGAGCTCCTCCTCCTATGTGAACAGCCCAGTTTGCAACAGGAAAACCACTTGCAGCAAAGCTTCTCCTAGGAAATCAACAGCCCACAATCTTCCCCTCCAGTTCTCTTTTTATGGCTACAGGTAACAATCCTCAGGTGGGTCCTCCACGACCAGACCACGCTGATTCTGTTCAGCGGGACTCTCCGAGGTGACCATTACTCAGTCCACCACACTCAGGGAACCTGGAGCAGCTTGCTCTGGACCTGCCCCACCATGGCTGACCAAGCCCCTAGGTAGCCTAGCTCTTTTCAAGCAGTTATTTTTTAATCTTGAGGAAACCATGATGAGAGAGAAGCAGTCATCTCCACTGCG